GCCCGCGGTCTCTCCCGGGCCGCGGGGCTCCGCCGGCCGCGTGCTTTCCGGGCCTAGAGCCCTTCGCCGGCGCCCGTCCCCGCGCCCCGCTTACAGCCTCGGGAGACTAACCTCCCGGGTTTCACCTGCTGCACCTGGGCGTGGGCCTCAGCGCCGCCTGGGGAGTCCGCGCCGCATCTCAGCCCCTCTGGTGGTCTTGACGGGTTCATTTAATCCCTAGTTATGGGACTTCCGTTCAGCTAGATTTCAGGAGGTTCTGAATGGTGGTGGTTCTGCGTTCTAGTTGCAATTTTGATGTGGTTTTGGGAGGCAGCGGGTACTGCGGTTACCTGCCCGGCCATCTTGTGTCTTGGGTTGGAAATTTTTTGAGTCCCCAGCGAGAGTCACATTCTTTTATCTAAGGAACAAGTGTCATTGTGTCGAATCCATACCTGGTCACGTTTTTGGAGCAAAGGAAAAAGCCCTGAGAATTGAAGAGAGAGGAGACAGTAGCGACCCGCTCAGGTAGGTGGGAATAAAGAGCAGGTGACACGGGTGAGGCCCTAAGTCCCTGGAGGCGGTTTGGGAAGATTTGCTTCAATGGAAATGATTTTGAGAAGCCCAGGCGTCTTTCTCTGGCAGAGGAACCTCTCCTATCCCACTCCGATCTTGCTCCTGAATCTTCTAATGATTCCCCTCTGCTGCGAGAAACTTCCCCCTGGCCCGTTTAGTCCTGCATGGTCTCACGTTTTCCATTGCTTCTGGGGCCTGAGAAAATTTATGCCCTTTTGGAGTTTCTACAGGGAAGAAAAATGTGTGTCCCCTTTTTTAAAAAAAATCCTCACCCAAGAAATTTTTTGCATTGCTTTTTCAGAGAGTGGGAGAGATACATCCATGTTGCCTCCCAAACATGCCCTGACTGGGTACAGGGATAGAGCCTGCAACCGAGGCACATGCCCTTGGCCAGAATCAAACCCAAGACCCTTCAGTCTGCATGCCGATGCTCTAACCACTGAGCTAACTGACTAGGGCAATGGGTCCCCTTTATCTTTTTGTGCCCTTTCCTCCTAGAGACAAATGTGTATTTGCTAGTTTAGGAAGTGTAGTGATAGACTAACCCTCCCCTATCAAATCATACGCAGAGCAGACTTCCCTGTAGGGCAGACCCTGTTATAGGGCCTCAGAAATGTGCCTGTGGTCTCCCCACTGTTTAATCCTGGCCTTGCTGTAGAAGGTCCCGGGCCACTTTATGAAGACATTGATGCTAGGCCCTGCCCCAGACTAACTGACAGGACCTCTGGGGGTGGGCCACAGGAGCTGGTAGTTCCAAAACCCACACAGAGGATTCCAATGGGAAGTCAAGGATGACAAGGTCTTTGCTAAGATTGCTCATCAAATGTCCATGTACTTACACGTGAGGATTTACACATGAGGATTTCATAAAGGACAGGTGCTGGGGACCCACGCTCAGACATTATACCTCCCAGGTGTGAGAAAAGCCCACTAATTTGGCTTTTAAACCACCGCTGAGGTTTCTGCCCCAAGACCCCATTTCCAGCAGCACTAGAGGAAACAAGAACAGCACCTGAGTGCCTTACATCCAACTCTCCTATCTCAACAAAAATACTGCTTGTTCCCAGTGAAAATCACCTGCCAGCTTCTCGAGAGATTAGTCTGTTCTACGTGTGTAAAGTGAGAGTAGACAGAGAAGGCAGTGGTGCCTGGCTGGAGTGGCTCAGTTGGGTGAGCATCACCCTGTGCACCAAAGGGTTGCCTGTTCTGTTCTCAGCTGGAGTATATACATTGGTTGCCGGTTCAACCCCAAGTTGGGGCACATATGGAAGGCAACTGATCCATGTTTCTCTATCACATCGTTTCTCTCTCCCCCTTCCTAAGCATGTCCTCAGGTGAGGATTTAATAAAAGGCTGTGTTTGGGAAACATTATCTCTATGGAAACAACTAATAATGCTTTTCATCTTTATGGGTTTACTTACTGTGGAATATATATATATATATATATGGAATCCTTTTGTGTCTGGCTTTTTCACGTATAACAATGGTTCATCTATGATGTTTGAATCAGGACTACATTCCTTTTCTATGGCTGAATATTTCATTGTATGACCATATCACATTCTATTTAGGCCTTCATTTGTTGGACATTTTGTTTTTGTCTTTCCAGTTTAAAAAAAAAAAATCACAGAAGTAGAATTTCAAGAAGAAATGGGCTTGTGAAACAAGTTATAGAGGTAAAGGAAGGGCCCTTGGAGCTTGGGAGTGAGGAAGCTAATGCTAATACTAATACTCCTGGGAGGGGGGAGGAATAAGGGAAAGGGAAGGCATGGGCATGCTCCTGAGGGAGAGCACTTGTTTTCAGTTTTTGACTAATGGTAATGGTGCTTCTGGAAATTTTTGTGTATAGCTTTGTGTTTATATACCTCTGTTCAACTTTTGGCCAGATACCTAGGAGTGGCAATACTGGATACCACAGCTTAGTTTTTCTTTTTTTCGGAGAGAGAAACATTTGGTGTTTCAATTATTTATGCATTCACTGGTGGATTCTTGTATGTACCCTAACCAGGGACTGAACCCACAACCTTGGTGTATCGGGACAATGATCTAGGCAACTGAGCTACCCTAGCAGGACAGTTTTATTTTTTTTGAAAGTATGTTTATTAAAGCTAGGGGCAGTGAAACAAGGAAGGTCCTATGATACAAAAAAGCAACAGGGGAGAGCTTAGGTGAGGCTGCTTGGGCTCTCTAGAAAAGCTATGGAAAACTAAACTAAGGTGAGAAAAGGGGGCCTTGGGGACAGGTTAAAGGGGATAGCCCAGGATGAGCTGCCACTGCCCACTGCTCCCATGGTTGCAAGTCTCATGGAGTCCCTTAGAGTTTAGGTCATGCCTGTGGGGGAAGAAGAGGGAGAACACCCCCCACAGCTTAATTTCTTAAGGCTCTGCCACACTATTTTCCACAGCAGCTGTACCATTTTACCAACAATGTGTCAATTCTAATTTCTCCACATCTTTACACACTTGTTATTTTCTGATTTACTATAGTTGTCTTGGTATTAAAAAGATATGTTGTTTTGATTTAAAAAAACTTAAGGACTAATTTCCTTGAACATTTTTTATTTGGTGTTTGGCCATTTGTAGAAATGTCTATTAAAGTGCTGTGACCACCTTTTTTGGGGGGTTGTATTTTGTTGTGATATTGTAGGAATTTGTCAAGTATTATGGAAACTACACCCTTGTGATTTTAAAATATTTTCTTCCATTTGGTAGACTCTTTTCACTTATGTGATAGTTTCCTTCAGTGCACAAAGTATTAATTTTGATGAGGGAGGACCAATTCTATTTTCTCTCTCTCTTTTTGTTGATCCTCACCAGAGGATATTTTTCCCATTGACTTTTTGTAGAGAGAATGAAAACAAGATGGGGCAGAGAGTAGTAGGATGCAGGAAATGTGCTTTTAGTAAATTACACGAGTGCAGTGCCTGGGAATTTTGGAGCGGAGTTTAGATTGTTCAAATTTAACCAAAAACAAGATTTGGTAAGGTATGCAAAGATCTTATTAAGGGCTATGCATGGTGAAAGCCCTGAGAAGCAAGGGAGACTTGCTTACAGCAGCTGAAGTCATGTCAGGAACTTGCATTTACTCCTGACCTTTAAGCTGTTGTGTAGTGCATGCAACTGCAGAAGAGAGTAGTGTCAGTTCAAGGCTCCTTGCTACATGAATGGTTTTTAAAGGTTTTTCCACATTTTTCAGGCTTCTTCCCAGTATGAATTATGTGATGTTAAGTCCTCAGTGCTGGTAGAGGACTTTCAGCACTCCTCCCATCTGTAAGATTTCTCTCAAGTATGAACCCTCTGCTGTACAGTAAGGCAGGAACACTGGTTAAAGGCTATGTCACTACATTTTTAAGGCTTCTCTCCAGTATGAGCTCTCTGATGTGCAGTAAGGGTTGAGGAATGGCTAAAGGCTTTGCCACACTCTCTACATTTATAAGGCTTCTCTCCAGTAGTATGAATTATCTGATGGTCAGTAAGGGTTGTGGACTTCCTGAAGGCTTTGCCACATTCTCTACATTTATAAGGCTTCTCTCCAGTATGAATTCTTTGATGGACAGTAAGCTTTGAAGACTGACAGAAGGCTTTGCCACATTCTTTACATTTATAAGGCTTCTCTCCAGTATGAACTCTCTGATGGCAAGTAAGGGCTGAGGAGTGGCTAAAGGCTTTGCCACATTCTCTACATTTATAAGGCTTCTCTCCAGTATGAACTCTCTGATGTGCCGTAAGGGTGGAGGACGTGCTAAAGGCTTTGCCACACTCTCTACACTCATGAGGCTTCTCTCCAGTATGAGTTCTCCGATGGCCTGTAAGGTGTGAGGACTGGCTAAAGGCTTTGCCACATTCTCTACATTTGTATGGTTTCTCTCCAGTATGAACACTTTGATGTTTAGTAAGATTTGAATGGCTGATGAAGGTTTTGCCACATTCTCTACATTTATAACTTTTCTCTCCAGTATGAACTCTCTGATGAGTAGTAAGCGTTGAGGACCAGCTAAAAGCTTTTCCACATTCTCTACATTTGTATGGTTTCTCTCCAGTATGAACTCGCTGATGTTGAGTAAATCTTGAATGGCAGCTAAAAGCTTTGCCACATTTTCTACATTGGTATGGTTTCTCTCCTGTGTGAACTCTCTGATGACTAGTAAGGGCTGAGGACCATCTAAAGGCTTTACCACATTCTTTACACTTGTATGGTTTCTCTCCAGTATGAACCCGCTGATGACGAGTCAATTTTGAATGGAAGCTAAAGGCTTTGCCACATTCTCTACATTTGTATGGTTTCTCTCCAGTATGAACACGTCGATGTTTAGCAAGATCTGAATGGCTGACAAAGGTTTTGCCACATTCTCTACATTTATAACGTTTCTCTCCAGTATGAATTCTCTGATGAGTAGTTAGAGTTGAGGACCAGCTAAAGACTTTTCCACATTTTCTACATTTAAATGGTTTCTCTCCAGTATGAACTCGCTGATGTTGAGTAAATCTTGAATGGCAGCTAAAGGCTTTGCCACATTCTCTACATTGGTACGGTTTCTCTCCAGTATGAATTCTCTGATGAGTAGTAAGGGCTGAGGACGAGCTAAGGGCTTTGCCACATTCTCTACACTTGTATGGTTTCTCTCCAGTATGCACTCGCTGATGTCGAGTCAGTTTTGAATGGCAGCTAAAGGCTTTGCCACATTCTGAACATTTATAAGACTTCTCTCCAGTATGAATTCTCTGACGTTGAGTATGTTTTGAGGACTGACTAAAGCATTTTCCATGTTCCCTGCATTTGTAAAGTATTTCCCTTGTATGAATTATTCTCTCATGTACAATACGGCATGAATGCCATTTAAAGGTTTTGCCACATGCTCTACATTTGTAAGGCTTCTCTACAGTATTAGTTCTATGATTTAGAGTATAACCTAAAAGCCAATTTGGTGTTTGACCACCATCTTTACACTTATGAGTTTTTTCTCCAGTATGGATTTTTTTCAGCCTATTTAGATTGAATATTTGACTGAAGACTCTACCACATGGATTCCATTTGTAAGCCTCCACCACAGTATGAATATTCTCTTGTTCAGTGCAATTTGAAGATTTCTTAGAAGATTTGACACATTTACTTCTTTTGTCTGTCTTCTCCACAATATGGATAACCTGACATATATTGTGATTTAACATTTGGTCTAAGATTTCCCCACTTTTATAATGGTTCTCTGCAAGATGACTTATCTGATAATTATTAGGATTTGACTCTTGCTCAAAGCTTTTCCAGTGTTCACGCCATTCATGACTTCTGTCTCCATTATATGATCTCTGGTGATCATGGAAGACAGAAAGACTTTTAGTGACAGCTACAATTTCATTAAACATGTACACTTCCATAAAAATCATTTGGTCACACCTATTAAACCATGATGGTTATATGGAAAAATACAAGTTTACGGAAAAACAGTAAATGCCAGAGGAAAAATAATGATTCCTTGTTTAAAAGATTGCCAAACTGATCACATTTAAACTTTATAGGTACATTATAAATCTCTAAATTTTACAAATAACTGACTGAAAGTTTAATCCCACCCGACATTTTGAACAATTCAAATGATTATTCACACCACAAATTATGTGTTCCTAGCTTTTCCAGATTTCCTTTTCATGAATCTATAACAGTAAAACGTTGTTTTCGACCTTCACACAAACACAATGATGTGCAAATGTAACTGACTTTAAAGAGCGTTTTCCCAAGTGCAGAATATCCTTGATCCCTTTAAGTAACAAGAATTTTGTTCTCCTCACACTCTCCCTCACATTGCAAAGCTTTCATTAAGTGTACATTATCAAAGCCACACCTTCCATATCTTACCGATATTATTTCAGAGAATAAATCCTGTAATCCTGGCTTTCCCAAAAAGGCCTGGTTGTTTTCAGATGACACAGCTGAAAGAAAATAAATGTTCACAGCTTTGACACTCAAATGAATGTACTCTGAACTTACCAGCAATTATTGACCAAATTTGGAGTACTCCAAAGCAAGTGAAGTACAATGCTGAAAAGTCATATCAAAAAAGGGACAAAAAGCTGCTTACTCCTGCTAACGATACCTGCTCAAAACCCCTGGCACATAATGTCAATATTATAAGAAAACTCCTAATTCCCAGTTTCTTCTCTGGAGAGATAAAGATGAGGGCACTGTGTATCCAATGATCTCGCTGTTTTGAAGCATCTTGAGGAACATGTTTCTCTTGTGCATGACACAGAGTGCTAAAAGAATGGCAGTACATGGTGAATCCACTGTAGTGGCTACCACAAAGAAACAATCAGAAATTGTTCAAACACCACAAAGACTGCAAAACTGAAGACATATATCAAAGTATGAAAAGATACCACGGCTGTGAGACAGAAACAAAGAATATTTTAAACTTGGAAATTACACAAAAGAACCAATAATACAGATACTGAAAACAGTGTTGAGAGAAATTAGAATTTCTATCACAGGTGATTACTATTTGTTTTCTCCTATGGAAAGCAAGTTTGTAAAGCCTAGTTGTTTCTAATTCCTGAACCTCAACAAAAGATATCAAGGCATACAGAGAAACAGAAAAAGTGTCCCATTAGGAAAACAAAAAAAAAATCTAATCAAATTGGCACTACATTCATGGTAATATGTTAATTACCTGAAAAAGAGTTGAAAATAAATATCTTAAAATAGAAAGTAGAAAAAAAAGACAACCATATAATGTCAGGAAAACTTTATTTGACCAAAATAAAAATACAAGAAAGAGTGTAAAACACACACACACAAAAATGGGAAGCTGAAAAACACAACACCTGAATTAAAAAATAAAGTAGAATCAAAGACAGACGTGACCAAGTTGAAGAATCAAAAACCATGTACATAGTTCATTAAAAATTTCTATAAAGGAAAGCTAGCAAAAATGAAGAGAACCTAAGGGATTCAAAAGAGACTAACAAATCGACCACTCTGCATGTAAGTGGAATAAAGACAGAATAGCAAAAAGAGATAGCTTATATAAAAAATTAACAATTTAAGATTCTAACAACTGGAGAAAAAAGAGACATACAAATGCAAGCAGCTCACTGATTTCTAAGTAGAATGAATATAAAAACAAGAACAGGAAAAAAACAAAACAATGAAAATATCATGAATCCCAAAATACTACCCTAAGAGGCATATAAAAAATAACTTCTCATGGAAAAGACAGCTCCTCTAAGACTATCAGTGAGATTCTAAGCAGAAACCTTTTGGGGGGGCGGGGAGAACATGAAATAAAATACTGAACTGATCAAAGGACAATAACTATTCAACAAGAATGCTGTATCTCACAAAACAGATAATCAACAATGGAGAAAAAAACCTTTTCCAGCTCACAAACTTTCTCATTATCAGACCTTCTCATTATTAGATCTGCCCTATAAGATACACTCCAAAAACATCCCTGTAGAGGTATTTTTAAGATTCTACACAACACTAACACATATGAACATATAAAGACTTCTTGTCCAAGTAAAAATATACATAAACAGCCCAGCTGGCGTGGCTCAGCAGTTGAGCATCAACATATAATCCAGGAGATCATGGTTCGATTCCCAGTCAGGGCACATGCCCAGGTTGTAGGCTCAATCCTAAGCAGGGGGAGTGCAGGAGGAGGCCGATCAATGACTCATCATTGATGTTTCGATCTATGTCTCTCACTCTCCCTTCCTCCCTCTGAAATAAAGACATATTTTTTAAATAAATTAAAATATACACAAACATAAAAATTTGTTGTGCTCTAATAATGAAACAGAAATCACTTTGATTTCTCCTGTGGAACTTTAATGTATACTAAGTTGTGGTTTAATGCATATTGAGCCATTTCTGCAAGATGGAGGTTTTGAGAGATCAGATGCACTACAAACAAAGTATACTTAATATGACTGGACTGTACAGGTACAACTGCTTAAAATAATAGATTTCTAGTACATGGGTTTTTTGTGTTTCTTTCTGTTAGGTTAATACTCACAGGATATATTTTTTTCCATTGCTTTTCAGAGAGAATAGAAGGGCAAAAGGGGGGGGTGGTAAGAGAGAGAGAAATATCAATGTTAAAGAAACATAACTGGTTGCCTCCCACACGAGCCCCAACCCCAGGTAAGTGCTGTTGACTGGGAATAGAAACCATGACCCTTTGATGCTTGATTCTATTTGATGCTTGAGACTTGGCAGCAATTTACAGATTGCTCTGTAGTTTGTACCACATGGCCCCAGGCAGGGCACAGGAAATGACTGACCTTGGCCCACACCCCCTGGAAGGTCCCAGAGCCAGCACATTTATTAGACGGCTTCATACCACACTGCATTACAACCCTACAATTTCCACGGGAAACACATTCAAAGGGTTGACCAAGTGGATACACAAGCACCACTTCAGCAAGTTCAGCTACTTAGGTTTGGTCCTGACACTGCTACTTGTCTTTTGTAGTTGCAGTTGGTCCTTGAAGTTGATCTGCCTGGGGGTCTATCCTTTTTAGTAATGTTCGAACAGCAATCAGGGCTCAATAACAGGACAGAGAACACAACCCACACATATGACACGCCTGCAGCAACTGAGTGACTGGGGAGGCTGAGTCACTGGGCCCTACAGAACACCTACTACATAGGCCACTCTACCAAGTTCGGCCGATGGAGCAGCTCTACCTAATACATAGAAACAAACAAAAAGAAGCAGCCAAATGAGAAGACCAAAAAACAGGTCATAAAATGCAACAAAAGGAAAAATCTCCAGAACTAACTGAAATAGAGGCAAGCAAACTACCAGATACAGAACTAAGTCTGAACTTTGTAGGGTCTTGTTTGATGCCTCCATAAGATTAGAAATTACAAACAAGAGAATTATGACACCTGTCTTCAGTGGTCCTGGGATTTCTGCACCAAATTACAGCATCTCAACAACTTCCCTCATAAACTCCTTTCATGTGATAAAAACAAAATTTAAAAAAAAAACACTTTAACACACAATTCCTCAGGAACATGCACAGATTTTGCCAGGTCCCCAAAGCGATGGAAGAGGAGCATTCACAGTACAAGAGGAACACTTTGCCTGTTACTGCTAATGTGATGATGGCAGTCACTGGAGCAGAAGCAGAGTTCCAAGAGAATTCAGGTACATGGGACCTGTTGGAAACAAGCTGTCACCCTATGACAGCAACAAACATAAACCTAGGCTTCTCAAAATCCTTTCCACTGAAACACAGATTCCCAAACCAAACGTTAAGGTCCGGCTTCCTCTGTGACCTCTGGACCTCTCACCTGTGTCATCTGCTTTCTCATTCCCACCTACCTTAGTGAAGAGACATTTTCTTTTTTCTGTTCACATCCAAGTGTACTTTCTTTTTTTAATATGTTATTGATTGATTTGAGAGAGAGAAACATGGATTTGATGTTCCATTTATTTATGCAATCACTGGTTGCTTCTTATATGTGTCCTGACCTGGGATCGAACCCAAAACTTTGGCGTATCAAGATGAATCTTACCGGCTGAGCTACCCTGCCATGACCCAAGTGCTCTTTCATTTGCTCCGAAAAGATGAGCAGGACTGGCTTAAAGACAGTAAGACCTATTTATTAGAGAAAGTAACGAGTTTTGAAAGAGATTCTCGGATTTCCAAACCAGTTTGCCCTCTGGTAAGAAGACATGGTCAAATATTAGAATATTCCAGAAAATGATTTTCCAAGATACTGTTTTCTGATAGCACCTTAATTAGACTAGAAAACATGTAAAGCTTTCAGACACTGAGTTCCTAATTCACATAACAAAGCCTTTCTTTACTACACCAGAAAACCCCCAATTTGTTCCTTTAGAGCAAGAATCTGGAAGTCTACCATAGAAAGCATAAGCCCCTAAAAGATGTTAAAGTAATAAAGGAAACAAAACCCTGTGGGTGGAGTAGAAACTCTGAAAGGAAGTCATCCTCACCCAGGGAGACCAGGTTGCTGTAGTTCTCCAACATCACATCCATGTACAGTGTCCGCTGAGCTGGGTCCAGGCATTCCCACTCCTCCTGAGAGAAATCTATGGCCACATCCCTGAAGGTCAACGGTCCCTAAAAGAAAGGACACATTTACCAAGGGATAGTAAGCAGAGTTCATAATGTCACCCAACATGAAAACAGTGTTAGAGAAAGTGGTTTTCTACCTAGAGGAGTATCCTGAATCATCCAATAAGATCATTTTGACCCAGTAACATTCTGTAATGTTTTCTAACACAGAAATGAGGATGATACATGTCCACAAACCCACTGTAGAGACTTTACTTTTCAGGGAAATAAACTTTAAAATTAAGGCATCAACACAGGCATATGGACTTTGAGTGTTGTATGTGTATTATTCAGGGTCAGTTGTGTGTATTTCTCAGCTGGAAATGTCATGGTGAGTTGCAAGTGTAAGTACTTCTTCAAATTTAATGCAGGCAATAGACTGCAACTTATAGTTCTCATAAAATGGGACACATAGGAACCACAATGCTATTTGAAAATTTACTATGAGTAATCTTAGAACAAGATTATTCTCCCTCTGATATCAGAATATTTTGTTAAACATACAATAAAAGGTAAACCTTCAATTTTACTCCAAACCTGATCTACAATTTTTTTAAAAAGCCCTAGCAGGTTTGGTTCAATGGTTAGAGTGTTGGCCCATGGACTAAAAGGTCTCGGGTTCGATTCCCAGTCAAGGGCATGTACCTCGGTTGCTGGCTCTATCCTCAGCCAGTCGGGGCATGTGCAGGTGGCAACCAATGGATGTGTCTCACATCCCTGTTTCTCTCTCTCTTCCCCTTCCACTATCTCTGAAATATCCTCAGGTGAGGATTAAATAATATGCATAAACAAACCTCATGAATGTTCATAGCAGTTTGGGTAACTGAGAAAAAAGACATGCAAGTAAGAAAAAACAGCTGAAATATTTTTAATATTTTTATACAAACACATCAGAACTATAAAATCAAGATTATTTTGAGATTCTGTAAATCTCATGAATCTATTTATGAATACCTTTTGTGTTTTATAAACACAAAAAGGAAAGAAACTCACACAATCACAGAAAGGAAGTTATAACTATTGTTTGTTTTTTATAACTGTCACCTGAGGATATTTTTTCCATTGAATTTTAGGAAGAGAGAAAGTAAGGGAATGAGGGAGGGGAAAAAAGAGAAAAAAGTCAGTGTGAGAGAGGCACATCAACTGATTGCCCCCCACACTCACCAGACCAGGAATCAGACCTGAGACAGATGACCCACACCAGCCATGGCTACCTTTTGTTTCTGAGCTGTTCATTCCTTTGAAAATCTTTATATGTATCATTAGTGGAATGCTACCTTATAGAAATTTAATTGAACTGAACATACATTAATAATATGAATCTTGGAAACCTTCTAGAAGATACAAGAAGTGATCATGTAGAGTGTGTCCATGATATGAATGTAGACTATAAAGAAAATTTACAGGAACAAGGCCTGATTGGTTAACACTCCCACGTCAAAAGCTAATGATCTGTAGGAAATAAAAGTAGAGCCTTCATTTTACTAAGCAAACAGAAGCTAAGAAGAAGAGGGGAGTTTCCAGATGAAATGTGAAGGTCTTTGCACATCTCTCAATAAATCTTTTCTAAACCCTTGTTAATGATCAAAAGGAAACTATTAAACTCTAGTGAAGAGAGCAGCTCAGCCAAGTGAACATCGGGTGGACTGGAACAATGGGTATCAGGTGACTGAAGCACATGGAAGGACATGTTCTCAGAGCTGTAACATTACTGGCAAAAATACACAAAGAAATAATTATGAGAAAATGATCACAAATAAACATTAACTTTTGCAAATGTCAATCCACATGTACCTCTCATGCTCAGTGAGCTGCTAATACCTTTAAATAGCAAGTAGTTCGTACCAATCTAGTGAGCAAGTCTCTTCTACTTTTCTTTTCAAAGCAGTCTGAGCTATTCTGAGCAGAAAAATGTGCATTTTCTTATCTCTGATCTTCAGAGCTGATGCTACATTTCCCTACTTTACTGATACCTGAGCCTCTGAACCCCATCCCAGTGGTCATGCTGGACATGGGTGCCTTCCAAGGTTGATCTGTCACAAAAGGGATGTTTTCTGCAGTTGAAAGTCATTAACTAAAGGAAGGGATGCTTCTTGACCTTGGGGAGTCTGAATAAGGAGGCTACAGAAACGGCTCTGGGACAAAGGAGAAAAGCCTGTAAACTGCCGACCTTGACAATCCTAAGACCAAAAGGAATGACATAAGCAAAGTAAAACCACCTGCCAGGCAGGAACAGCAGAAGTGGAGGGAGAAAGGTGGCAGGTTCTAAACCCACCAACGTCAGAGGAAAAGCAGCCGCAGCCTCTGACCCAGGACACACCTCTTACCTGAGCAGCAGCCATGCTGTCCCGGCCCGGCTCCCGGTGCGGGTCGTCTCCTCCGGTGAGGGTATGTTGGGGCTTCACAGAAGATGCCTTCAAAGGTGTCCGCACAGCTTCTTCGCGCGCTCACAGCGCACAGTCCAATCTGTCTAAGTAAAACAACCCGGCTCATGGTAAATTAGGTCCAGGAGCCACGAGCCCATATTCCACAGCTTCACCACCCACACCGTGAGCCCAGCAGTCACCGGGTGGGGCCGTCTCTGCTCGGTCTCACTGTTCCCGGTTCCCTGCACTGTCGTCCTTTCCTTTCCGCTCCGCCCTTCTCCCGGTTCTCTACACCCCCCCCACCTGTACCGGGAACCCCTGAGACCTGCTTCGCCCGCAGCCGCTCCCCCTGATCTCTCGGACGCCCCGTCCCCACACCCGCCCGCCTTTCTCCCCTGAGGCCGTGTCCCTCTGCGGCCCCTGCTACAGCCCTTCCCGTCCCCGGCCGGCCGACTCGGGGCTGTTTCTCCCTCGGCTCCGCCGGTCCCTGCGCTCGCTCCCCCAACTCTCCTCCTCCGACCGCGCTCCGTCTTTAGGCCTCGGCCTCTGCCGCCCCCGCTTCTGCTCACCGGGCCCCCTCTCCCCATGTCCCCTGTCCTTCCTCTCTCGGGCCCCCCTCAGTATTTCTCACCTTCCTCCTCCCCGGCTCCCTTCCCGAGGGGCTCTCACTCCACCGTCGCTGTGCAGCGGCCCCGCCGAC